TGATCTGGATGGGACTCTTGGTACACCAATCAAGATTATGATTATGGATTATGATGTCCAACTTCAGCAGCTTGACTGCATACACCTGCCGAAGTAACCTGCGGAAACGAACGCAAATAAATTTAAGATATATTTCATCACCCAGTACAGCCCTCAAGGGAATGATTTCGTAAAAAAATTATTGCAGCTGTTAGTGTTTATCTAATGGAAATGCAAACATTCTGCAGTGGGACCCAAGGGAAGTGTTCTCATGGTCTATCTCCGACTTACATAGTCGATGGCGGGAAATTTGATTGTTGTAATCACTTTAGGTAAAGCCCACCTAATTACCTACCTCCTAAGTTATTATAGAATACTCTTTTTAAAGCAAATGCAGTGGTTTGGAACCTAAGGAAGTCAATTTTTTAAACATTCAAACCTGATTCAAATCACTCCTGAGGCAGATAATCACCAGACAGCTTTCTTTTCCCATTGCCACATTGGAAAGGACAATTGCCAACTTGTTGCCTCTTTGAGGTATTTATTTTAGCCGTAGAAAAGAATTAGCTAAGAAAATGGAGAAATGAATAATGCACTCTTTAAATTTGCAGGCCGAGTCGACTTAAAGCGCTAAATGGAAATAAGGTTACGAAAATTGGATGCGTCCAACTTACCTGATCATCTAATAACCTCACGCAAAAATGAAAACAAAGTTACTGACATTGACATGCGTTTTAATGGAAGGGCATCAGATAATCGTCTCCAGTGGTTAAGGCATTTCTGATGAGGAGATGAACTACAACACCTATTTGCATGCCACAAGTGGGTATTTCTTATCGTTACCAGCAAACAACGAGAAGTCTGGAACTCTCTACCTGATAGGTGCTTCATTTATTTTTTGATGCTTTCAAGTTATGCGGAAAAGCATTCCCACTCTACCAGACCTCTGACTAAACTTCTGTGGAATCCCTCAAGATTTTCACGGCTTTTTCGCTTTACCAATGAAAAGGTTGAATACAAAGTAGGCTAGCCTTTGAGGGTTCATTTTGGTCCTCGAGTTGCCTCAACGATGACACTCTGAGTTGAAGAAACGGAAGTGCGTAGGAAAAATTGGGCCTACAAGTATTGTCCGCTCACACTAACCTTATTCAGGTGCGAATTATCCATTTAAATGTTTGAATGCCGGCTCATTCGCAGGGCTTATTTTGCCAAAAATAAAGAGAAATATATCATTCATGCAGGCACTTCCAATCGCCGATGGTAAATGCAGCCAATTTGTTTGTTGAAAGGAAGGTCTTATGTTATTTAAGTTCAGAAATTTAACGTTAAGACTATTTTAGCGTTTTGCTTTATTCACAGGTTTTCGAATTACACCTAAATCCGAAGTTTTTCTTAAAATCCCATACCTCTGTATAGCTAAAATGATTAAGTTGTGAGAAGTGCCATAAAGTTGATCCGATAGGGATAAATTTAACCGGGAGTAGATTGAAATTAAGCCTTGCACAAATTCATGTAAACGAGTTTTCTGTGAATTTAAAAGATGAACTATGATTACCGAGTTCAAGGTGCCCTCACCGAGGTATTCGCAACAGGCGAGGCCTGGGCCATCTTCAAACACATCCACTTCATGGCTCATTGGGTCGACTACTTTAGTGCTTGTGTAATTACAGAGGTCCTAAGACAGGTTAAAGTGTTGCACCCAATTACAACCAATTTTGTGGAGAAGTTGGCTTTTTATTCCTATAAAGTCCAAATTGTATTTGTTTAAATCGCATCACGTAAAGGGCAAAGTTAATTGCAAATTCGGTAAGGACGAAGACATTGAAGGTAACACATGCTGTTTCAGTGGATATTTCAACGTACATTTGATTAATAATAGAATGTTTGCTCCTTCTTAAAAGAATGGAAAACTTGTCTTAAATTCGACCCTCGGGGAACTCTAATATATGATCGTATGTATTAATATTACCAGTATATATGATCATTCTCCCGACGAACACCAATTTGTGGTGGTTAATAGTGGCTCACTTGCTGTTTGGTAATCCTCTTGACTAGGAATCTTTAACCTATTATTACTTTTTTTTAATCACAAAAGCGACAGAAGGGATCAATTTGAGGTACCAAATGCAGGCAATAAAATTGGAGCCTCGGTTGTGGTTTCACCAATTATGATGCTCTACCCTTTATGAAAAATTTGTTTCCGATGTGGTAACGGCTCAGTGGAACGGGAAGGAAGTAACAGCTATGTGTCAAGCAAAGTACTATCAGGTTGGTAGATGCGAAATATAACGAACTCTTCCCCATGTGACTGTTTATGTTAAAGGGTGGGCAAGTCCACTTTGTCACATCGCACCATTTGTGTGCACCAGTAATACTGTCACATCCCTTCACAAACACCATCCACCTTGTAATTACTTTCACCATTGCCCTAAACAATATTTTGGGTAGCTAACTGCCATCACAACCTTTTCTCCTTTTTCTCCTTCTAAGTTTACTTTATTGTAGACAGCCTGAGGGAAAGTTTATCCTAATGAAACTAATTGCCAGTAGTTCAGGTCTTTCAATTCAACCTTTCGAGCAAGAAATCTCATGCCCCAGGGGTAATTTAAGTTACTCATCCAACATCCATCTGTAGTTAACATTTGGGTGAAGGGCGGCATGACAGCGGCTGTAAAGACCGGTTCAGACAGAAGTGGTATTTTATGAAGTTGTCCACTAAAATTTTGTAGGCTAGTCGAGAAGGGTGGCCATTACAAGGTGGTCATCATATCAGCAATTATTCAGATTGTTCTTGATTTATTATGGGTAGGACATCCCATCCAGGTGTAAAAGTTATGAAAGTGAATACATTTATGTAAACAATGCAGTTTCGAGGTGAAACTTGCGGTAGCACACGACCAGTTACAGCTTTTCGGCTATACTGTGAAAGGATTGAAGCAAGGGCTAAGTAAAAACACTTATAAATCCACAAAAACTGGATGACACTAGGTGGAAATTTACGGCTAATGCCCATCTCATACAGTTCCACCAATTGTTCATGGAACCAGAAATTGGATTGCATGTTGGAATGGTTAAAATCGACCTCTATGGTGACAAATCTATAAGTTTGAGGCAAAAAGTCTTCTTCTATCACATAGAGTTAGAAGATTACTACCTATTTAGTAGCGCTCTGATTGCAATTACAAGAAATAAGACCGTGGAGCAACCTCTCAAATTACACAAGCATTAAGGTGCGTTTGCAGTCTATGCTTCATCAAATCTCTGCAGTATGGGTGACTCTAGCAAGAATTTATATTCCAAAAATGCAGTTTCAGTTGTGCT